TCCCTGATACCAAATCCTTTGAACTTCAGCTTCATGTTGTTATTTGGAAACCCTAGAACAGGCAATCAAAAGGTTACATGACAGAAGCAGAATAGCAACCAAAACATCATTGATAGGATGAATTCAATATAATTTTTTTCTAAATTTGGCCTGCTAAAGTTGATATAACTAAAAGTGACAATACATACTGATGGTCTAACTTTGATTCTACACTTCTTATGACAGTAGTGACTAGGGACCCTGAATGAAGAATACACTCAGACACAAGGTAAAAGAATCTTAATTTGTTCTGACGCTGCCCGCAGAATGAGCAATAGATCAATGGACATCAGGTTATCCACTATTTCAGCGATTTAATGTGAGGGAAATGAGAAAGGAATAGTGAATAAATAAGTAAAAAATAGAAGAGAAAGGAAGCAGTAGAGATGAGATTTCTTTTTTTTAATAAAGCCAGTTAATATTGCAGTTAAAAGATTTTTTTATTTCTACTAACTGGAAAAGAACTCAGAATATATTCCCTTACAAAGTTGAACTTGTTGTATTCCAAAATGGAGAAGTAATACAAATAGAGGTTTCTAAACTTAAATGTAAAATTAAACCTCTACTCTTCACAATTGTTTCCTACTTTGAGAAGGAGTTTAACACATTTCATAAGACTTGTCAGCTGGACATCAGCAATGCGTCTTTAAAACGCCAGCTACGTTTCCAGATGCATAAAATGCCAGCAGACGATGCAAGATATCCCTAACTCTATATATAGCATGTATAAATCACTTTCTTTTTTTCATTTCCAAAGAAATGCTTAAAATACAAACATTCAAACATTTTGATTTTCATTATTTACCTACTGAAACAGGAAAGCTTTTTAAAATGAGAAATCTGGGAGACTTGCAGTAAGGCTTGTGGCAAGCCCAGCCAAAGCATTTCCAAGGGCACTGGGTCTGGGTATTTTTTCCACAGCAGCCTGTATGGCACTGTGTTTTAGATCTATGCCTAAAACAGTATTGATACCACACCAGTATCAGCAGCGTTTGCACAGCATCCAGGTCTTCTTTGTCACTCCCTCCCCCCAGCAAATAGGCTGAGGGTGCGCAAGACACTGGGAGGAGACACAGTTGGGACATCACTTTGTTTTCTTTTGCCTGGGAGAGCTATGATAAAAGCACCAGCCTTGAGCTTAATCTGGTATTTGGGCCCTGCATTACTGCAGTCCCTTCAGGGGAGTACCTCTTCTAGCACAGCCTTACCCGTAGGCCACAGTTCCTGCCACAAAACATACAACTGCTCTGGTGTGGGGTCCTCCACGTGCTACAGCGTGGCCTTACATGCTGACCACCATCTTTAGAGTGAGGGTCTACAGTAGATGGAAGTGAGTCACAGAGAACTTCACTTTGGATTGCAGTAAAGACAACTATTACTGTCACATCTGGTTAAATAGTTAAGGAAGATCCTTAAAAACTAAAATTCCAGTAAATCATAAATCCCAGTATGTTTCTCCTTTAACCCAGTCATGCATCAATGAACATTTGTGAACTAACCAACCTCCACAGACCTGTATTTAAAAACACACTTTGCTACGATTCTAATCTATAATTTGGGTCCTGAAGTTCTGTAATATAGTCAGGTTGGCACAACATTTCACACAAAAGAATAAGCTGACAACTAAAGTTTGTGAAGTTTAGTCGTTTACCGGGGGTACCTCAAATGTTCCGATGCCAGTTTGCCACAGCACTGGGCCCGGTGCTGACACATACAGTGTCTATGCTCACGGCACGAGGCAGTAACAGTCACAGTCTATAAAGATCTCACAGGGATGGATCCCACTGTCCCTAGTTGGAAAGCTGTCCCTGCTTCTACCTAACAGAAAGTAAACCCATAATCAAAATATCTGCTGATGCTAGTCCTGCCAATAGCATAGCGGGATTCACCACCTTATTCTTCCAGAGTTCTGCTTTTCTAAACTGAAAATACATCCGTATGTGGCATAACAAAAACCCCAAATTAAACAATAAGGCATGCATTTAACAATAAAAAAAGCAAATACACAATACACTCATACACTCTCTTCTAATTACACTAAATTTCTAGGACATAGATTAGTTCTTTGGGAAAGGTTAAAATGTTCAGCACTTCAACACTACAGAATCTGCTTTGGTCATCATAATGCATTACCTGGTAAATCAGTCTTCATAATATCAATGCCAACTTGAAGCTCAGGCTCAGCTGCCAGAACCGCATAATCTCCTTGATGAGAGACATTGAAGTTGTAATTCGAATAGATACCAAATACATTATTTGCCAGGAAAGGTTTTCCTTTTGATGTCCTTTGCAAGTGTATTTCATTCCAAGGTATGCACAACTTTTCTGCAATTAATTTCCGTATCAGCAGGCGACCAGCCTATGAAATAAAATGGAAGTGATTCATACAGAACTATTTTGCTATATGCAAAATATCTGTGGTTGCTAGAAAACCACCTGCCTAAAAAAAAGGAGGCTTTATTATTGCCAATATCAAATAAGAGTATATTTTATCAAATAATTTAGATTTCTCTCTTTTACAAAAGCCTGTGTCAAGTAAATTTAACCAAAAGGGTTTACCAGACCCAAGTACAGAACACATTTGTTATCCCTGTGAGCACAGAGACAAGATCCAATAAAAAGCAGTCTCAGCCTAGAAGAATCACATAAAATAGCTCCTCCTCTACCTTATTTACATACTTAGGATATTTTATTGCACAAATGAATACTTTTTATACCACACTGAGCAGTAAAACTGTCTCAACAGCTTTCCTACAGTACGTTCATTCAGTGCTAAATGAAATACCGTTCAGCTAAAAATCGTAACTTCTTATAATTAGCAAAGTCTGTATTACTACCACATTGTTGTGAGATTTAAAACCTGCGTTATGTAAAACAGCTTTATTCTTACACATTACACTACTATCTTCATGTACAGTCTCCTAGAGTACATTGATTTTGCCTCCTAACTTGACATCACGACACAAAACTTGTGAAGTCTTTCAGAGTAAGTGCTAGTAGCAGACTGCAAGCACTCCTTTTGCCTCGTAAGTGAAGGTGTAAGTAGAGCTGGCAATTAATACTTTGTGATGCATTTACTTCCCCGAAATGCCCTTGCAGGGCCTATTTTCCTAGATATCAGAAATTCGGGCAATACTGAATCTGTAAAGAGACAACCGCGTCGCCACGGCAAAGGGCCAGTCCCGGGGCCGCGAGTGGTGCCCGGGGCGGCTCCTCGGCGGAGGGGGCTCCTCAGCAGGGGGCTCCGCCCGCGCCCGGCGGAG